AGAAACAAGAGCATGCCAGAACATTACTACTTGACTAACATGCTTTTTGCAGTCCTTGCTTAGTTTCCTCCTATTAATTGTTCCATGTTCTTTACAGCTTGACTCTAGATTTTGTAACTGTATCTGACTTTGGCTGTAGTTAGGACTTGTTTTCTCAACAGGTTCGTTTCTTCCAAACGCCTTTTTTATGAGATGCTAGTTGACTGGGGCCCAAAGACCTAGAAGATCCTGGCAAGCTTCACGGAAAAAAGCATGTTATGATAACAGGCTGGAGCTGGCTAGAGACAGTGAAACGATTCCTTGCTCCAGGTGATTTGAGAGAGGACAGCATCAGAGATCCTGAACCTTCTTTTAATCGTACTCTCAGCAGGGTACTGCTGGACTGTTGGCTGCTTGCTCTCCCTCTCTGTGGCTGTAGCACATAGCATGTGGTGTAATCAGCTGTGGTAGGAGAGCACTTGCTGTTGATGGTGTTCTTGCAAAATTCAGTATCTCTAACAGTAAACAGCTATTGCTAGTCTTTCATCAAGAGTTCAGTGTGCTGAAGGGAGCCCATCTTTCCTCTGGGGAGTTAAAAGTTCGAGCTTCAGCCAAATATCAGTTAAGTCTCTCTGAATTCAGCTCTTACTTAGAAGAAAACTTGGGGGGTTTTTTGTTTTGTTTTATGTAGAAGAGTCTGAAGCTCTCAGATGTTTAAGGTGTTTATGGCAGTCCTAAAAAAAAGTAGCCAGATGTCGGGAGAGAAACCTATATGGGCAATAAAAATTCAAATTTGATTGGATGTGATTTTAAAGCCTTCATAAAATATATTAAGCTCCCATTGTGACAGCAAGGAAGTTTGCACTTAGTGAATTTAACGGAAACATGGGAGTGTGGAGTCTGATCCTTTAAAAAAAAAAAAATATTCCAAAGCAGATGTAACTGACAAATAGTAGGTGGCAGATACTCATCTGTCCTGACAGTCTCTTCACTTTTAAAACATAAAAGTGAGGTAGCATAAAGAAAAAGAAGGATTTGGGATCCAGATATTTCTGTTGGGAATATAAATGTAGGAAGGGTACAAAGCACCAATAACATAATTTTAATAGGAATCATATATTGTAAAGAGATAGGTGTTTCACTTATTTTTTTGCCTCCTTCCCCTTGAGGATTACAGCTTATTTTTTGCGTGTGCTGGGATAACTCATCAAGGCTGATGGGAAAGGCTTAGAATGCAGATTTTAATGAAATCACGTGCTCATAAATACAACATATGAAATAGAAGGCAGAGTACATTTTAAATACCTCAGTATTAGGAGGAAAAATTAAAATATGTGGAACGTGATAGAGCTAAGTATATTAGTCTGAAGACCAACCTGCATGAGATAAGATCTCCAAATTTCATTTTTTATTTTAGGTTAAAAGGGCAACCTTAGTAGAGTGGCCTGCTCTTCATTATTGAAAGCAAGAGGCTAGTTTTGGGACCATACTCATGAATTTTATGAGTGTGTTGACACTTTTGTCGGTCTAAGTGTTGGGGTGTGTACATGCTGGTTTTATTACCTTGCCATAGAAGCCCTTTTCTCTCTCCTCTCAGACCAACAACAGAAGACTGAATAGAGTTGCCCTGGGTCCTTGATCTAACCCATGAGACACCATTTGGAGTGTTCTGCATTGTGTATTACTACTAAAGTATTTTCAGTTAAACTGACATCTTAAATGCTAGCTTTGCCTGGCAGATAATGAAATTCTTGTTTCTTTTCTAAGGAAGCTGACATGAAAGAAGCCAACCATGAGAGGTCACAGGAATTTGTACTGCCTGTCTCCACCATTACTAACAAGTAAGCACTATATGGTACCATAGGATGGAGGTGGACTTTGTTTCTATTACTGACAGTTGTCACGCAGGTGAGAAACACTCAGGTGATTCCAGACAAACCTCAGAAAAGGTGGGCTGCAAAGCCAGCCCCCAGCCGGAGGTGGAGGAAGATTACTCACCGCCTTCTAGTCCTGGGTGCATCCTGCTAGACCTTCAGTCAGACAAGAAATCCATATAGAACTGCAGTGCCAAGAAGAGGAGACCTTGGAAACTTACTGCTGGAAGCGTAATTCAACCAACCCACCAACTTTGACCTGCAGCGTGAAGATGAATGTTTAGAATGCTGTTCCTCAGAACACTCTGAGGAACCTCAAGAAGGGATAAGTGAGGATGATGAAAGCATCATCCCTATTGATGCTTTGGAGGAGGAAGAGGAGGAGGACCTGCAGCCCATCTCTGGAGATGCTTTGATCATTTCCTCCATGATCCCTATGAGGAAGACCATTGTTTGCTGGCATTGGGCCATTCCTTGGCAGCTGCAAGAGGAAATGCTGCCATTGTATCAGGTTGAAGTCAAGAGAGATGTGCAGTTGTTGGATATGATCAGGACTAGCTGGACTCATCTGGGCATCTACGCTTGTAAGACTGACATGTTAAATTAGAGCTTTTGTGTGCCTGTGGTCTCCAAGTTACAGTGTTGCTGTCTAGATTATGAGCACCCTCTGGGGTTGGTTTTGCAGAAGTGTCACTGTTAGGCTACACAGCCCACTTGGCCAGAACGACTCATCCATCTCTTCTCTCCATACATCCTCTCATGTTGTAGTGCATTAGCTGTAATAAGCTGTGATTTGGATTTTTTTAAAATGGCCATTTATCCTCTGCACCCCACACAGGCATGCTTGGCTGTGGCGATATTGGTGCTGTATGTGCTTATATATTACTCGAGTTTTCCTTATGAGAACTGATGAACAAGGGGAGGGTTGTGTGCTTGTCTTGCACAAGGGAGGTGGAAGGGGTATGTGATTCCGTGCGTCTTGGGTCTAGGTGGAAGAAAGCCTTCACCCTGCCCAGCTACTGCATTCCAGTAAGAAACGTCTAAGAATTTTAAATTCAGAAAAACGGTAATAAAAATAATGAAAATCTTCTGAGGTTTTTTTCCTAGTTTGTGAGAGTTGGAATGACGGTTCTTTCTCTGCAAGGTTCGCCATACTAAGCAGCATGTGGGTTTCTCATGGATCCAAGGACTGCCATTAAAGGAATGTTGTTAACTTATTTTTTAACTGCCTGATCTGAAGAAACTGAACTGCCACTTACTGTGCTCTCAAAAGTAGCTCGCTTTTCCGTGTGAAAGGAGTAGGTACGTTTCTTTTCCTCACCCTCAACTCCCAGCAGAGTAGTTTCTGGTTTCATGTTTATTTTTAGAGAGATTTGTGAGATCACAAAAAAGCAGAGTATTTTTAGAAAGATCTGTGAGATCACAAAAAAGCAGAACATTGAGCATTTTTATATACCATATTTGCATATTTTGCTAGTAATGTACACTCTTGTTCATTTTTAATTTCAGTTCTGTATTTGCCGCTAATTGTAGAAGCCCATTTCCAAAAGTGAGAGTTTTGTTTGGCTGTCCAGTGTGCAACATAACTGCAGCGTTTAAAGCAGGAGCGATCTCTGCGAGGTTACACGGTGATGTTGGAGAGTAGTTTTGACTGCAGGAAGCGCAGAAGTGGTCAGTACGGTAACGGGGGGACAAATGCAGAGCGCTAAGGGGACAGGGTCGGGGACCACTGGTTGAACAGAAGCTGTTGGGGGCTTCCCAACGGTGCTCCTGGGGGATTGGACCTTGGATGACTCCTGTTGAACGGTTACGTTATTGATGGGAACGTAAAAGTGGACGTGTGCTGACGGGGAATATGAACAGGAGGGAGGGCTGCAGAGCCATGGAAGAATGAGAAGTCTTCCAGAAATGGCAGTAGAGAAACGGTGAAAATTTCTGCTCCAAATTGGTGGGTAATCAGCTATAAGGGATGGAGGAAAGGAGCCTGAGAATGCCTACAGGCTGTGATCCTACTGTGGCTTTGAAAAAGGCAAATGGGACCCTAGGATGTGTCGGGCAAAGAACTTCCACTAGGAGTAAGGAAACAGTGCCGCTGTGAAAGGCCCTGGTGAGACTTCGCTGAAGATACTGAGTGCAGTTCTGGGCACTCAGGGTAAAGAAATACTCATTCAGGTTGGAAGCGAGGCACAGAAGTCGGGGACGTGGACAGAGCCTTCCTCACAAGAGCAGAGCCTATTTCTTCTGACAAAGCAAAGCTTGAAAGTGAACCCAATCGCTGCCAAACTTCTGCGGGAAGACACACGGTTATTGCCATTGCGGGGGGGGGGGGA